ACTACTTTTTAATAATACAGGCCGATTTTTTATAATATAATCAAAATTACAGAAAATTTAATTTTCTGAAATTTTAATATTATATGTTGTTTTTCTGTAATATAATTGTACCTGTGATCTGATTCCTCATCTTCACTATTATACCATTCCATATCACTCTCATTTCTAAGCTCCTTTATAATTTCTATTACTTTTTTTAATTTTTTTTGTGTAGCTATTCCAGCAGCAGCAGGCATAGTAGTTGAGGTAGTGATACTAGGTGTGGTGATTGCTGTAGTGGTAGGCATTATAGCTGCAGTGGGGATAATAGGCATAGTAGCTGCAGTGGGGATAATAGGCATAGTAGCTGCAGTGGGGATAATAGGCATGGTAGCTGCAGTGTGGATAATAGGCATAGTAGTTGTAGCGGTAGTGGCTGCTGTAGTGGTAGTTGTGGTTGGTGAAGTGGTGATAATAGGCGGGGTAAGGATTACTATAATTGGTTTAGTAAATATATTGGTTTTTTTTTTATACACTTAACAATAGAATCATCCAAAAAGTTCTGTGACATAGATTACACGTACAGTACGTACGTACGTACGTACATACATGCAGTATTAACAATCACGAAAAATGATCTACAATATGAACCGAACTTTTGAGGGCCGTCTTGGATGATTCTTAACAATAGGCTATTTTATTCAATCGCATTACGACTTCAGTAAAATGGTATTTCTGAAAAATAGACTTTGGGAAATCAACCCGGAACCTTATATAGTAGGCACGTATATGGACGTGCGATTGTATTAAGTAGATTTGGAATTACATAATTTATTGACGACCGAACAAACCTTGCAGACTTTCATTATTTTCTGCTTGGCAAAGTGGACAATTATTAACATTATTAATACAATCTTGATGATAAAAATGTTTGCAAGTCAATATTGTTACAGATTCTCTAAGGCTTGGACAAATTACTTCTTGACAAATTACACAAATGTTGCGAATTTACATCCGTGAAATCATTTTCCAGAGTTTTGTAAGAAGTTATGTTAGATAAAAATATAAACAATGATTCTATTTTGCCAAAAAAAAAGCAGGAAACCAAACAAAAGTCAATAATATATTCATACCGTACCTTCACGATTAAATAAAATTTAAAATATCAATTTATGCAAAATACAAAATAAAGGATATAAAAGCAATATAATTATTTTAAGTATGCCACAATTAAATAGGTACCAGTTTACATAGGTACTTACCAATTTGGGTAATTTTTGTACCTACCCTATGATAAATCTAAAACCTATCACATGATAGTGTATCTACCCTAAAGTAAAAAACATATAATTGGTAGGTGTCTAGAGACTTTTTCTATCTGTAGACCTGGTGATAGATACAATAGGTAGCAAAAGTAATGTCTGATGGCTTTTTTATAGTAAAACATATAAAAAATTAAAATTTATAGAATATAAAAAAGTCAATATTTTTTTATTAAAAAAATTTTTTTAATATAATTAATAAATTCAATATTTATACAGTCAAACCTCCATAAATGCAACGTGTACAGACCAGCCTAAAACATGCATTTAGGGAGGTTTGCATTTAGAGGGAGCCAATCAAATTGCAGCTTTTAATATTT